TACACCCTACATGTCTTGGAATAGCACCTCTGCTGACTGGCCACACTCACCTCCTGGATGTTCTGGAAGAGCGTCTGGTGCTCGGCCGGCTGGATGAGGTCCCTCCGCTCCGACAGCGGTACCAGGAACCGGCTCACGCCAAACTGGAGTGCCAGCGAGTAGCTCTGCTCCTTGGACAGGAGCTGGTAGACGGCCCTCTTGCGGGCCTCCTCACGGGTCAGCTGCCCGCCGGCCTGGACATACGTCCTCGGTGAGATAGCGAAACGACATCGTAATCGCATCGGTTCGAAATCGTTATTTTGACCTCAGTTTTCATAGGCACTTCTCACAAGTAGTAGAGCTTTTGTTAAGTTCTTTTGCTCTTTACACTCTAAATGGGGAAAGGAAAATTTTGTATCCAGGGGAGATGTGACTTTAGTCGTGTCTAATTAACGTTCAAATTTCTCTCCTAGATACAAAATTTTCTTTTTCTATTTAGTGTGAACTAGTTCGTGTTGAGTACACAACGAAATGAAATTTGTGTATGTCGACAGTTGCATTTTAAATTTGCCTCAAAGGCATGGTAAAGACAAACTTGCCGGCGAAGTTTACGGAGGAGCCTAGGTAGCTACCGGCTATATACAGCAAAAATTGGGACAAATAGCCAGCAGCGTTGAAACGTGACTGTTGATTTAGGGATCCGTCCAGAAATTACGTCCTTTCATTGCCAAGTTCCGCAGTCAATGCAACCCTCATGGTGCCTGACGCATAGGCAACATCTCGCTAACCGTGCATGCGTGTACTGCGGGTTGGCCTACGTTAAGCCTCGCAGGCGCTGAGCTCCCGTGATTATTTACCAAATGTAAAACGTACGTACTTTCTGGACAATACTTTGGCATATGTAGGATTTCAATATCATTTTGAGCCTCGATGGTGTCTCCAACACTGATGTTGGTGCTCAAATCTCATCATCAATCCCATCATTGGCATAAAAACAAAACTACTAAGCGTTAAGGAATGTAGGTTGTCTTGTAGGTGGATTGAAGCTGATGAGTTCATGTGGAACTAAATATCTAATCTATGCGAGGAGCGCCTAAAGCCATGCAAGCTAGGCTGCTTAAAAATGCAAAATAAAAATGAAAAAATCTATTCAAAAATCACATTTATTTATTAATGAAAACATGACAACAAATCATGGGTTCCCCTTTTGTTCTCAAGCAATAGGGTAAGAGGAAATCACAAGCCTGTAAACACGTGCAGGGAACCACAAAGAACTTTGAAAATATTTAATAATTTGAAATAAATAATAAAAATGATGCTACAAGGGGAATTTGGGTCTTCAGGGCGAGGAAACATTTAACTGGCTTAAAGATACAACAAACATGAAAACAAACATAGGAACAAAACGTATACAAACGTAAAGAAACATGGGGTCGGAGACAGCACGCAAATAAGCTTTGATTGCGTACAAAGGGTGCTCAAAGGTGGAGTAATAAACATAAAAACATAAACAAACAGAAAACGGTAATCAATAAACAATATTTATAACACAGATGTGTAAAAACTTATAAATTATAGGAATCCGCGACATCTTATTGGCTGGATAGTACTCGGTGCGTAAAGGACATGAAGTTATACTTCAAGGACGCGGAGCCCACCAATAAACGCTTCGTGACAGTGTTAAGAAGACGTGATGATCGAGCAGTGCAGACTAAGTCGTGTTCGTAAAAAGTTTGGTCCTGACCCTTTGGAACGAACATCAAAACCAAATAAACTACGCGTATCATTTACAACAAGAAAACACAAAATGACAATATGCAACAGACATTTTAATACTACCCTGAATAAGCTATATCCAGGGAGCACTACGTGTACAAAAATAATAATGGAAATA